GTGTCTTGGAGACTATGCGAACTTCACAAACATGGCAGCAGGCTCAGGAAATGGGAAGTCCTGAAATTCTTATGCCAGTACTTTTTAACTAGAACATTTTTATGCCAGAAGTGTGTTACCAGCAATGCTTTTTTTTTTATTCCACAAGAGATTTCTGTTTAAAAACAGAAAATCAATAACCATTGTGCAAGAAAATAAATCCCCTTTTCAGCTTGGAAACAATTTCCTTTTCTGCACTTTCCTAAAACCATATTTTGCTCCTCAGTCACCTTCAGAGAATCACTTCCAAAAATACTTTTACATTCCTGATGTTAAAAGCACAAATCTACTATAAGTACTTGTTCAAAGGAGCCAGTATTATGTACCTCAACATGATCCTTACTGGTTTGTCCTAGGTGTTGTCAGCTATTTTAGCAGAGGTTGAGTCACTGTGTGAAATGCAAATACCGTTTCATTCCACATCAGTCGTGATTCACCCTGAAATCCATGAGAATTTGGCAAGCTGCTATTTTATGCATTAGGTACTTAGGCTATTTGCTTCAATAATACAGCATCACTTTATCACTTAACTTCAAAGTGATTAAAAGTCTATAAAGTAAGAAAATATTAACAGTTTGCATTTTACTGATGGAAACTGTGAAAGAGATCTCATCCCACGAGATATTCAGGGGAGATGCTAGTATTTCACCAGGAGGAAATGGGGAGCAGTGCAACACATGACTTCCAATGAAATCAAATGCAAACAAAGCACCAAGACCTTTGAAAGCTGAACTGGTGCAGCTTGAGCTCTTCAGGTAATTTTGCACATTTTCAAACACACCCTAAGAAGATGGACTATGCCCACACTCCCAAGTCACATCTCAGCACAGAATAACTTGCTCTGCTTCTCAGCAGGCCAAATCAGATTCTGGTATTGTGCTGCTGCAAATTTACTATGCCCAGCATCCAAACGGGTTTACTCTAAATCCAGCTTGGCAATATCAACACTGTATTCAAAGTGCTACTTTGACTATGGTACAGGGGTATCTGAACAGTAAAATTTGTCCAGTTCTTGTGTTAGCACTGAATGAACATCTGCTATTTGAATGATTTTTACTAAAAACTTAATTTCCACTGAAACAACAGGTTTTCAGAAAATAATTGATTTCAATATCAAGAAAATCTTCTTTTGGAAAATCAAATTTCATTCTTCCAGCTGAAACTGTATGGTAGTGATACGTTGAACTGAACCAATATACTTAGTTCACAATCAGCAAGTGAAACAAACATAAACCTACATGAACAGCATGTAATATGCTACTCTGGACAAGGGAATTTGCATACTAAACTAACTTAGAAGAGTAACATTGAATTTCATTTTAAACAATAAAATTTTGCTTGAATAGCAAATACTGCTAAGTACAAATCTATTTTTTAAAATTCAAATTCTATTAGAAAAAAGAATTTTTTTTTTTTTATATTTTCAAATTATTTGGGCTGAAAAGAAACATCAAATGTTGACGTTTTCCCCAGAAAAGAAACTGTAAATGTTGCTAAACTCCGGCAGATTTAGACCAGTCCCTTTTTGAAAAGGAATTCCGGAGTTCAATCCTACTGAAAGTAGCTGAGATAACCTTCTGGAGGCCACTTTGGAAAACGGGATAAAAGTTCCTATCCAACCTAGACATTTTATAAATGCTTACTGTTTGTGCCCAGTGTGTTAGTTATTCAAACCAGGACAAAGCGAACCAGTAAAACCAGGCTTCTTGTCATACATCTGTTCTGAAATCACTAAGTATACCTCTTTGATCATGCCTATCCTCTCTTTAGGACTGCATGGCCATGACTTCACCCCTTGTTTTCACTGGAAAAAGCAGTAACACAACCGGGAAAGTAAATATGTATCAATTTTCCATTTCAAAACCAGCAAAACCAATTCCTTAGAAGACAGCAGTCATGTTATTAGCTTGGCTTTGATATAAATGGCATGAGCCACAGCAGCTTTCAAATAGAAGATTTACTACAAATTGGGATCTGAATGGAAAGAATTAAATGGCAGACAGAGAGGATTATGAGTCTGTGGCTGTATTCTGACATATATTGGATTATTAGGATTTGCATTCATTAGGAAAGTTAGACAGGCGTTTCCATGACTGCTGTGGATGTATTCTGCAGTTCATGAAAGTTCTATAGTTAATATGAGAATGTAATTATAAGATGACTTTTTCTGATTAAAAGCAGTAGGTTTTGCAGACTTTGACATTGCTTGTACTTTGTTATGCCAAACATGGCTCTAAATCTCCACAGAGCCTCTGTGCCCATATGAAACTGGTGGGTTTTAATTGATGTAGGAGGCTCTCTGCACTGCGTTTTGTAGCAACTAACCCCTAGGGTAACTAACAGTTTTCATAAAATATATTGAGGGTTAAATCTGAGTTTCAGCTAAAATCTTGTGTAAAGTACAACTCGTATAGAGGTGTATGTACTGCACTGCATTAATGACAGGCAAAGTTATGAGCTGGAGATGAGATCTGCAATTTGCTACAATTAGTTAACTTAGTGACTCAATAAATCAGAATCTGTAAGAGAAAAGAAGTGCCTTACTCTTTATCTATTAATTTGTTACCTAAATATTTGGATAGACAATGAAGGCTACTCAAACGACTCCTACAGTCTTTGCCTATTGCCATCGTTGGCTACTCAAAAGACTCCCAAACTCTTTGTCTATAGCCATCTTAAAGCTTGACTGGCACACAACAGCATTCAACATTGTCTTAGGAACTCAAATATGTTAGCCTTCAAGTTAAGCTCTTGACGATCATTTACAGCCTTTAAAAAATCTCATCCCCACTGCAAGCTGCATGGCAGGCAGGTAGACTCAGAGCTCCTCCAAGAAACATGAACCACTTCCTCAGTAAAAGCTCTGCTCTGCCACAGTGCTGGAGTTGGGCCAACTGTGATGCTGTTGAAACTGACAGGTAATAGCATAACATAGGGTGAAAAGCAAGGAAGGGGAAAGAGGAGAGCTGAAGCCAAGCTTTGGAGAAGGCTGAACACTGAGGATTATACTACTAACTGCATTTTCATGACAGGTGAATAATGAGCTCTTATTGGTGAGATGCTGCTCATTAAACTTTGACATTTAAAAGGATTTATGAAGGCTTATTACTAGGGGCTGCATTCACAGAGTCTACATGGGTCTGCACTCCACCAGCACAACTCCTGGTGTTGACATTTTCTTTCTTTTCTCTCAAAGTAAAAAAATAAAGTAATAGAACCCCTATTTGCTTTTCAGAGCTGAAGGAGTAATTAACTGTGGGAGCAAGAGGCAAGAAGGAAGAGACCTCAGATTTAAGGCATTTGATTGCAGATAGAAGCAAAACTATTATCAGTATTAATAGGGATCAGAAGCCTCAATATAAAGGTATTAAAAATGCACACAATATTGATCAACAGGCTTACCATAATTATGTGGTAGAAGCTGATTCAGCTGACTGTTTTCAGACTTTCTGGGTGATGTATCTCCCAGCTCATGAAATACAGTCTCATGCTATGAATAGTGACTGACAGCTTCATTTTAGTAATTTGCCATGGCAGACTGACATTCTATTAGAGCTCAGTAGAAGATACATTGAAATTAATAGGGGAGACTCTTTTGCTTCCAGCAGGCTCTGGATAAACTAATAAGTTTTATTTCTGATTCAATGGCAGCAGACCCTTTTAAAACCACAGTGGCTTCAAAATTTTCACAAATGAAAATGAGTGAGAGTTCTGCATGAGCCCTATGAGTGCTTTTGAACACTCCCTTATAATTACACAAACACTTGTCAGGGTGGAAAGTCAAGAGAGAAGATGTTTCACCTCTGCTATGATACATCCCCCTCAAGATCAGTTTACTCTCTTTTGTTCCATTCTCTTTCCTTTTTGAGTTCCCTTTCTCAATCAACCATTTTCTCCAGTCCTCCCTCCCATCTTAAGTCTTCCTGTCAAGCTATTTGCTGCCATTTCCAGCAGTAGATTCAGGAGCTATTCCCAGTTCCTAGACTTCTTTCCAGTCTGTTCAGCTCTCCTGATGTGGCATTATCTAATCTGATTTTGATCAGCATCAGAAAATTATGTCAGATGGTCAGGGACCTGAGTAAGCTGCAGAGGCTCTCAAACCTCTTCCCATTCCCTGGGGTTTGGCTGCTTGTGCTCTGAACCAGCTTGGATGTGGTGCAGCTGGATAACTTTGGATCTGACTGCTGTGTGAAGAGCTGTGGGTGAAGGCTGTAAGAAGCTTTCACATCAGAGGTCTCTCTCGCGTTGCTTGGCAGCTGCATTTAAGTGACGTACCTTACCAGTCTCAGCCCTGGCTTGCTGACTGAACATCCCAGCTTGACCTTACCCTGCCTCATCACCTCTGGACTGCAACAGGTCCTGGTAGCCATCACCAGACCTGCTCTGCTCAACTTGCTTGGGTACTGTGGGACACCACCCTTGTGGGTGAGGACTCTGTCCCTGCCTGTCTGGCACATGCAGGCTCACCTGCCCCAGCCAAGCAGCTTGCCCAGGCAGTTTGAGCAGTGCTAGCTCTGGAGGAAAGGAGAAGCTCAACATTCAGATCATGTTCGGGAAATTTAGCAGCTAAACAGTGTTCAGTGCTTTGTTTGCATTTGATTTCATTGGAAGAAGACTGTACAAGCATCATTTATCAAAGGCTTGTGACCGAACTCAATCAGACACTCAGCAAAAGGAGCATCCCTAATAGCCATTCAGCCTTTCAAGCCCACATCCCAGGGAGTAAGGTAGCCAGAGAGCAGATATGCCAACAGAACTTTTCAAGAATGCCAAATGCTACACTTCTCTTTCCAGTTCCATTTTTGTGTCTTACCAGCAATGACTAAATATAAAATAAAATAAATAAACCAAAACAAACCTAAGACTCTGTGTAGTTTTCCATTCCTATGTGGTTCACATCCCTGTCTATAGGTACTGCAGTTACTACAGGTACTCTTTCTTTATAGAGTCATCAGCCAGACTCACCTTTTGGTCTCTTTTATAATGCAGATACATGGTCCTGAAGGTGACAGCTTCTGATCTGCACATTCACCAGCTCTTTGTGCCTGACAGTGATGTTGAAGTGCCACCGTTCCTTCCATTTCCAGCAATTTCAAGACAGAACTTGGTCCCTGAATCAGACCCATAGGCCACTGAAAACAAAAGAAGTACTCTGATTAGCCCCAGTGAGATCTGAATCAGTCTAGCAGAGGAAACTTTCCACACAAGCTAATGTAGGATTGGCTCTCTTATCAAAAAGGAACTCCAAAGCACATATGTTATTAATCCTCCTTCCTTCTTAATCCCACCCTAAATAGTTGTAGTTTCACTTCACTCTCCCCTTGTAAAGTTCAAACTTCCATAGGTTTTAAAGACAATCTTTACCAAAGAAACACTGGAAGGACCTGTGGAAGTTTATGGATCATTAATTAGACAGGAGAGGATGAAGTTCTGCTGAATTGCCCATCTGTGAGTGTTAATTTAGCAGCTACTAGTTACTTTTCTCTGCTGGGATGCTAAAGGAAAAACAAGCTGAGAAAATAAAAGGCAAAAGAAAATAAGAGGGGAAAAACAGTATGAAGCTTATCAGGAGAAAATGTTAATTACACTTTAAAGCACTCAGACACCTAAGCTATTTACAATAGAAATAGAAACAGTCCAAACTATCTCTGGGTTGTTGTTTTTTTGGTTTTTTTTTTGCCTGTGATTACAGTTCTATTTGCTAATTTTCTCTCATTATCTTTACTCTAACGGGAGAAATATCAAGCACTTGTAATTTCTGCATACTGTTTTGTTACTTTCTATTTAATTCCTGTGTTTCTAATGAACACACATCCAGAGGTGTGTACAGCCACGTGAAAAGTGAAGCCAGTTGACTGCCAGTCACTGACGGCTATTTAGACATAATCAAAACTGCTCCCACCAAAGTCTTGGGCTACAGCATATTGAAGAAGAACCCTACAATCACACCTTCCCCAAGACATCATTGCAGACTCCTTCAGAGTAGCTGCTATAGCAATTGCAGCAAGAAAAGGACTTTGCAAAAATGGCATAAAACAGTATCACCTTTATTATCTTTGACCACTAAAATAAAAGGTTATGTACAATTAATATCTATTCACACAGTGAAATACATGAGGATTTTGCTACTGAATTCAGTGAGAGCAAGACTATGCCCACAGCCTACAAAGCTGGCAACAGCTGTAAATAAGCTTAATCTGTTCTCCAGGGCTACATTTTTATATTCCAGAAATAACAAGAGGTAATCTTTCTTTGGAAACCGCTGTGTTCATTAACAACGAACACTTAGTCTAAAGAAACGAATGACCTTTTCTAAGATACACCAAATTTCAATTCCTAAGCAAGGAAAGGTCTGTGTTTAAAAGCTGTCATTTGCTTTCTCAGTTTCTAGTCTGAGTGTTCAATGTAAGACACCATGGGTTGCAAAGTTCCTGATTACAAAACTACATGTTCTTGAAATGTTTTGCTTCTTCACTTTGAAAGAATTATATTTTAAATAACATGCAAAGGTAACTATGAAATTGTTCTACATCCATTTAAAAACCAAACCCTAGCACGTATCTGTTCAAAAGAAAGTTTCAGAACTTGTTTTTTAAATAGGTGAGAAAAGTCAAAGATACTTTATTGTAGGTTAACTGCTCAAATTTGTTCATAGGCATTTCTAACAAAAATATTAAAGATAAAAAACCATTAAATACCAAAGAAAACAGGAATATTCTGTCACCTCTACTCATGGAACAAGTCTCTGGGTGTGCTTTCAGTATATCAGTTTACAAACAGATATATCAGTATATCAGCTGTACAAACCAAATGGGCATGTATGCTAAGAATTCACTTCCAGACAGTCAGATTTCACTAACACACTCACACTGGACTAGAGACAGATCTGTGAAAAGCCCTAGAAGCTCAAGACACTGCAAGTCTGACTTATCCAATGTCTTGATCTCAGTTCTGCAATGCCAGATGTAAACTCACTGATGAAGTCTCTCTCTAGCTATGAATGCATTCTAATTTCTTTACTAAAGCTCCTCGCTAGAGAAAATGACTTCTGGCTTTGCAGACTCTTAAATTTCTTGAGAACATTGATTCGTAAGCAGAACTTGTAGCTGAAATGAAAGGCACAGACCTTGATGTGAACTCTGAGTTTTAATACTCAACTTGCTTTCCAACTATTTGCCTTTCTCCCCGTCTCTGTCACGCTGCTTCTATTAAGTATCCCATTATTGCAACAGCCCTTTTTTAAAGTGCAAAAGTGACATATAAAAATATATGTCATATATATATGTCACATACATATAAAAATTAAAAAATGCTGTACTAGATGTACATGTGTGAGAAGAGATTATCACAGGATCTAAATAAACACTAGCAGCAAAGCTGCATTTCCACAGTTCAGCTTCCACACTCACCCTATCAGCCTCATCTAGCTCCAACCCTCTGCCATGGATGGGCAGGGACACCTTGCAGTAGACCAGGTTGCTCCAAGTCCCATCCAACCAGTCCTTGGCCACTGCCAGGGATGGGTCAGCCACAGCTTCTTTGGGCAACCTGTACAAGTGTACACCACTCTCACAGTAAAGAACTTAATATCTAATTTAAATCTACCCTCTTTCAGTTTAAAGCAATTCCCTTTCTTCCCCCATGCCCCTGTGAAAAGCCCCTCTCCACATTTCCTGTAGCCCCATTTAGGCACTGGAATCTACTCTAAGGCCTCCCCTGAGACTTCTCCAGGCTGAACAAGCCCAACTCTCTCAGCCTATTCTCCACCATAGTCCTCCAGAAAGCGCTTTCCTCTCCAAGGAAGGGGAAAACCAGTCATAGGCCCTGAGCAAGGGTGCAGACAGGAGAAAAAATAATGTCTCCCTGATGTTCGCTTGGGGTGATTACCATGGAGGGCTCCCTGCACAGACAGGTCAGCTCCTGGCACCACAGCCCTGCAGCAGTGTCACACCAGGCATACGCTTGGCAGCACCATGACAGCACCATGCTAACAGAGCACTCCAACCACTCACACGCATGGAGGTCTTGAGACAAAACATATGCCTTCACAGAACAGCAGACTTTACTTTGTTATGATTGTGGGTTTCATTAACTACCCCAGACACAAACACTGTTTTGTTTGCAGCAACACTGCCATTGAACCTGCCCAAAGGAATTAAGGGAGGTCTCTGCATCATATCTCTATCTGGCTCAACCACCTAGTCTGCAAAGAGTTGCTGGACCTCAAAAAGCTAATACACATTTGATGATTCTGTATGATAGCCTCAGAAATGAATATTTCCATGGCAATGAATAGAAGCCACTGCATGTGTGTATTGAGTGAAATTGAAGCCCCTTTTGCTGTAGGCTGCTGCAAGGATTTTGCATGAAATATTAAAAAGAAGCCTTCATGCCTGGAGTCCTTACTGGGTCACCTCAGCCTTCAGCTATCCTGCCATCTCAGTCCTCTCCTTGGGATGTAATTAAATAAGGGTAAAATGGCATGAACCTGCTAATGGCTTCACATTGCCCAGAAGGAAATCACTGAATTACCCTGGGACACCGGCTCTGATTTGAAGTAGCACTTGCTTGACTAAGGTACTTCATTTGGCAGTAAGACTAACAGTATATAAGCAGCGGAACTGAACGGCATTAAAGGGAAACCACCTCAGAACATGCTTTTGTAAAGAAGATTAGTGAAGGTTAAGAGGATCACAGACTATACACCCACATCCTGAAAGACCTACAGAGAGAATCTGATTTCAAGCTGGCTGGTGTTTTTAGCTGAGCTGAATGCCTTTACCTGCCGGTAAAGATCAGGGGCTCAGTTCTCAAGGATAGAAATTAGCAGTTCGTTCCGTCAGCATAGGTTGACATATGCTGTGAAGCTACTTTCTGATTCAAACTCTAAATATTTAAAAGTTAGTAAAAAAATCTCTCCTTGGGCAAGATTATTCCACTCCTGCCTATTGCAGGATTTCCTATATTGTCATCTGAGGTGCCTGGTGCTGCCCGCCCCCCAGGGAGAGGACAAGATGAGCAGAGTCCAACTTGTTTTGAGTTTGAAGTCTGGTGCAAGCAAAGCCAGAACTTGTATCTGCTGAGAAGAGACGCTTTTTTTTAAAAAAAAAATCCCATGAAAAATAAGTGAAAGAGTTTTGACAGCCTTTTTTTTTCAGCTGTAATTATCTTCAAAGTAATTATCTCTGGAGGAATATAGCTTTGCTCTTCCATTGCATTAACCCAACTCTGCTTTTCCTTTTCAGAAGCAGCCTAAGTAAGATTAAATTTTGGTTTTAAAGAGCATATTGTGGAAGTGAGGGGGGAAATGTGTAATTACAAAAAAGCTGCTTAAATTTTTGCTACAAGACAAAAAAAGCAGAAAAACTGGAGAACAGCAATCAGCTGTGGGATTTTTTTTTACAGAAGAGTTTCTTTGGCAGAATTTACTGGCCCTGCAATGTAAGAATGATTGATAACTGCAGGATGCCACCCCCAGCATGAAGAACATGTCCCATGTGGCCAGAAAATGGACAAGATCCTTGCTGCAATGTGTCTACACCATCTATCACCAGTGCCTCTGGCCAAATACCAGACCAGAGCTTTGGACTCTTTGATGTGTAAAGACTGAGGAGGAAGATTTTCTATCACTAGCAAAAATATATGGAGATGTCTGTTTAGAAAACGCAAACACCATACCACCATATTGAAATATGTGAAAGAAATACTTTCTATCAAACCCAGTGTAAATCATGGAATGGTTTGGATCCACTGGGCTTTCGTTTTAAAATCTTCAACCCACATGTTCATGCTGGTTGGTCACTATTTCATACATCCAGTCTGAACATGACTGCTCACAGTGACACCCAAACTGGGTAACCAATTTCCAGCAACAGGTACCTATCGCTTGAACTAAAGCACTAATACCAAAGACGGCCATAACAGCAGGTCAGCATTGTCTACATGTTAGTGTATAACACTGTCAGCTCACCAGAAGTCATGTCAAGGACTGGCAGCTCCAGTGAGGAAATAAAACCACCTATGGCTGGGGTATCATGATGGATACTTAAGAAAAGTGGCCCATCAAAACATACTGCTGAAATGTGTTTCTGAGGACAGCCAATGTTTTCTTTGCAGGAAATCTCTATCAAGA